ACTGCTGTGGACCATTCCTAGAAATTCACACCAAGCTGCTTCACTTGGGTAACAGTGCCCTCTGCCCCCTGGCTGGCACTGTGTACACCCCACATTACATGACATGAAGGCTTTGAAGCACTTTTACACCGGGATTGTATCTGCCCTCACCTGAAGCTGCTCTTTAATAGTCTTGACAGTCCAGTGCTGATGGGAAGAGAGACTGGAAGTTTCCCACTAATTTAATTACCGTCCCAAAAGTAGATTTTCATAAAGATTTTACTTCGTGGAGACATTTGTCACGGGCTTCTCTCAGGAGCAACCAACTGAAAACCTCAACAGATGTCACAAAGAGAAGACACATCACTGGGTTAATCTCAGGAAAATGGGAAGTGGAAGGATAAATAAAATTGCCAGGATTCCAAGTAAATTATTTACAATTCTTTCCATACTGCTTTTGTTTCATGGGCAAAGCAGTTGGTGAAAGTACCAGTGAAGTAAAAGCCCGAGGACTAGTTTGGAGAGGAGGAAGTTAATGAGTGTGGCACACAGATCATGCCCAGGAATATTTCAGCAGCTGCTATCACGTGACTGAATTTTGCTCGTCAGTTTGATGTGCTGTCAAAGTCCCAGACAAGTACTTATCTGCAGAGCAACCTTTTAATTAACTTCTTTTTATTTCAGCATATCTCCATCTGTACTTACAGCTAATGGCCTGTTAAATGAAGTTCAGCACTATCTCGATTTCCAGAATGCATCAGTACCCAAACCCTCTGTTAGTGCCCCATCTCATCAACTACTTATTTAGTTGTAAGTAAATGACTGGTGAATAGTTAATAATAAACATGTCAGAATCCTAATAAATCTCTCTTTTATAAGAAGATGTCAGGTCTTCTGAATTTTCACACAAAAATATAAAATCTGTTCTGAGGCATGAGTAATTTAGGCAAAAGTGGCAGTTTATAAAAGCAAAAATACTTGACAAATGTGACCTTCCACCCATGAATGCTGTCTGAATGTTGCTCTGCACAAAGTTTTCAGAGGTAACTTATGCTTTTCAATGCATTTTAGGAAATGCACATGAAGAGCCTACCAGCAATTTATTTAAGTACCTAATTCGAGTGTTTGCTGGGACAAACCCTCATTGCTGTCTCTGAAGGACTGGCGTGTTTTGAGGGTAAGTAGGGATAGTAAAGTGTTATTAACTGAGACACTTCCTTAGACTTATCTGGCTTGTATAAAGAGTTAAGGACTTTGTTTAGTTTGTCTGTCCTCTCTTCTTCATTCTCCAGCTGTTGATAAAAGTATGAGATGTCAGAGAAGAAGGAAGTGGCAAACAATACACTCTAAAAACATTTGAAAATGCTACAGCTTGACACAACCACATAACGAAAAGCAGGAAAAATCATCCACAAATATCAAGGAATATTTTCTCGTGCTTTAGGAAAAAAAAAAAAAAGGCTACTTTTTCTGAGCACCTTTTTCTTTTTTCCTCCAGAAAACTAAAATTAAATCTGATTAGAGGAAGGAGTGCTGCAACGTAACATGCACGAATACTCCAAGATCCTTTTCACATTACAGAGATTTGAGAGGTCAGAGCACATCACATTCTCTCCTGAAGCTGCAACTGGTAAATTTATTACCTAAATTTCTTTGTTTTTTTTTTTTTAAAGGGAGGGAAGACACATTCAGAAATTGCTGAAAATTATGAAGAAACTACTGTGAGGTAATGCCTAAGAAATTCTGACATTGCAGACAACATTAGAAGATGACTATTTCCAGTGACTGTTTTATTGCCCCAGACAGCAGTGCAAGCTGCACTGTTTTTTCCCCACTCCTTTAGTGGATCTGGTTACTGCCCTCAGTTTCCACATCCCACTCCTGATTAATCATGACCTGCTCTAACCATACTTATGGACAGTATTACAGGGAGCTGAAGCAGGAGGAATGAAGCACACCCACCACCCCCTATTGCTCTCTTTAAAATTCACTGTAACTTCATTAAACTCACAGTGCTGACTATTGGAGAGAGAGCAAAGAATTAAGAAGGAAGCTGATTTCATTGTTGAGAAATGGCTTCCTTGGAGCAAGCAACTGCTTAAACCTCCAGTGACTTCCAGCTCACAGCAGGCCCGGTGCACTTCAACGTGGAGCTATGTTTTAATTTCCTTAAACCACAGGACACAAGTCACAGTTCCAGCGGTGTCTGCAGCGAGAGATTCTGTGCTGATGGTGATGCAAAGCTTCACATCCTGCAGTGCCCAAACACGTGGTTTGCCACAGGGGTTTCACACAGTCGAGGAGATGATGATGCCCCTCTGCTTGCACGGGGTTAACACCTTCAAAGGTAGCTGTTAAGCACTCTCTGGATACCAAGAGCATCCTGAACACCACTGGCCTCCAAAGCCACTCCCTTCTTCCTCCTGCCTTTGTAATTCCTTTCCAATTTCCCCTCCCCAGTCTAAGGACGGTTCTGGTTGACCAAGGCATGATCATGTGCTGCTCTTACACACAGAGACTTTCCCTGGGGGATAAATACTCTTTTCAACGAGCATCCAAAAGTCTGTTTGCCAACCACATCACATGGCTACATCCACAATCCCTAAAGAACATTCCCTATTTGCACAGAACCCTCCAGGTAATTCTGCTGCTAAAACTTTAACTCATAATCTATGGCTAGAAATTTACTTGAACTTTGCTATTGTAGTTCTTGTAATTATTATTATTGGTGTTGCAGTTGAGCAACCACGCAGCAAGCACAGGATGTGCAAGGAACTCAACAGCACTTCCAGAACTTCACAGTCCTGATTAAGCAGCCTATTCAAATTCCTTTGATTTATCTACATCCTGCCCTCCCAGGATTTAACAGTTAACTGTCTAGGGAAGGAAAATCCCACTAAACTGCAGTAAAAAGTAAAAAGACCAAAAAGGAAAAAAAGAAAAAGGAAAGAGAGTAAAAGACAAAAAGGAAAAAGAAAGAAGCAAATGTTGAAGATCACTCAGAGACAGGTAAATCTGTATTTTGGTGTTTAGAAACAGACCATGGTGTTACATACCCCTGAGCTGAGTAACACCACACACCTCTGATTAATACCACTGCCACATTCAATTATTATTCACAGGAGAAAGAAAATTACAAAAAGAGGATATTCAGCAATTTCCAATTAAAAACTGAAGTTAAGTTGGTTCCCTTTCCCCACAAGCACCACTTCAAGCATTCTCTAACACAGCTCCGTTGGGACCTGCCATCGGCCCAGAGAGTCAGGAACTGAACCAAATACAGGCATTTTTTTCCATCTTGTTGCCTTGTTTTAGCATTACTGTATTATGTGCTGGTCAGTGACATTTTCAACCATTTTACACTGGCGAATCACTAAGCCTTTATTTTACAGAATGTATAAATCTATCTACTTCAAGATGTTTAAGGTGCTTCTGCTGTTGGTTGTATTTTTCACATTCACTGACAGACTGTTAAACCAAATCTGCCACTTTGTTTCTTAACAAAAGCACTTGATGCCTTTAAGCTTCTCCTGTATTGACTCCCATCTCCTTCCTTTATGCATCCCTCTGACCGGACTGTGAGGAACAATTATTTGACTGGTTTTGTTCGTGCCCAGAATAGCAAATATAATTATCTGAAAGGCAGCAATATGTGTTTATTTGGAACTACGCATAATCTTTAAAACAGAATGTATTTAAAATCTGCATTGCTTACTTTATGTTACAAAACAAACCCCTCCATTTGCCGAGTTTGCTGCAGGAGCTGTGAATTTTAACGCTTTTCTTGTATTTCGCAGATCCCGTTTCCAGAATGCTGCAGCAGCAGCAGATGTTGCTGATACACTGTAAGAAGACAGACAGTTCACAGGCCTGTCATTCCTGGTAAACTTTACCTGCTTTTTCATCCTGGTTGAACCGAGAGTACTTGGAGTTCTCCAGCAGGGGCAGGCACTGCTCGATCGGCGTCCACACGTAGGTCTCTGGACACAGCAGGTCAGAGGGCCTGTACTGACCCTGGGGAGGGGAAAAGAAGGGGAGAATCAGAACGACAGCAGTCACACCCAACTGCACAAGAACACTCTGGCCACAGCTCTACAGATTTTCCAAAGGAGGAGGAATAATTTTAATCTAATCTACACCAAATGAGCGTGCAGTGAAATCACAGGCTTCGGTCCTTTCAGCACCGTCTCAGGAACACGAACCTCACCTTGGCACTCGATGAAAACGTAAAATTAACATAGCACACTTCCACCACGTCCAAGATGGACTAGAGAAGTTTTGGCTTTGCTTGCTGAAACTCTGTATTTAAAGTTTATCCTCCAGAGTTCTGCTGAGCTGGTGCCGACACTAAAAAACTCAGCACCTCCAAAGGCAGCTCATCTCAAGTGTTGGTAATTCTAGCAAATAATTGAGAGTAAAAAAAAAAAAAAAAAAAGAAATCTAATAGAAAAACCCCTCACTTAACAGTAAGCAGGACGCTTTTATTGCATTAGTGATGGAGCATTTTGTTCATTGCTACTTAAAGAGGAACACTTTTATTCATGGAGTTTTTCCTGGATTAGCTTACAGGTAATGATTAGTGAAATTCCACCGTTTTTTGTTGATTTATTAAAAAGATATTCTTTGCAGACGTTCCCAGAAACTAAACAGACAGAACTATTTTCCCTTGAGCTACACAGAAAATCACCACCTCAGCAACAATAACCTTCTCTAATCAGATCTTCATTTGATTTAAAATAAGATTATTCAGCAGCCTATAGCTTCAGTCACAAATCTATCTTGGAGCCATTACTCACTCAGTCCATACCCTCTCAGCATCCAGAGCCATATGGTGGCAATACCAAATGAAATATTAAATTGCAAATCCATTACATGTATGAGCTGGAAAAACAGCCATACAGTAAATAGAACGAAAAGTTGAAGGACCCCAGTGAAAAGATCGGGTGTTATCAGAAGTCACACTGCAGTTCAGGCCATCAGGAGTTCTTCATATCAGTTACTTTAAACAGGTAATCAAGATTATCACCTTGAGATGAAGTTCAGGTTTTTTTCCAGTTTCCATTATGAATGAAGCTGAGCAATATTTGGGAAGGGACATAAATAATTATCCTGAGTACAGCCTGGAGAAAAAGACATTCCTTCAGGGACACCCTTATACAGTAATACCCCATTTTGGAGAATCAGAAGAAACAATTTCATGTTTGCAGAGATCCCCAGTCCTTTTTATACTCTCATTGTTTGACTCTTCATAATATTCACATAAAAAACCCAACATTTTTTAATGTATTTCCCACCAGCTGTAAACTGCTGAGTAGGAAATACAAGAATTATCTCTGATAAAAACAGCCACAACTGTCCACATGAAAAAAACATAAAAATAACCAGGCTTGCTGCTGAACCTTGTGAAATACCTGATGTACCTTTCTGAAATGGTCTGTGTGACTGATTGTCTCCTTTGAAGCAAATTCAGGAGCCACTGGTAACTACTGTTGTTGGTTTTAGCTTTTTTTTTTTTTTTTTAATTAAAGGCCAATTTTTATATTAAATTAAAACAATATCCTTCCATGCAAAAGTTTAAACCTCAAGGCCTTAGAAAATCCTCTAAAGCCAGAGAATGGAAATGACATTATTAAATAAACCACTTTGAAATGTTACACTCTGTAAACAGGAATAATTGAATGGCATGTGAAGGTAGTGCTTGAAGAACACTTTTAGCCACCACTACTCAGATGAAACAATTGAAGGACTTGGTGGGGGGGGGGGGAGAATATGCCTTTGCAGTCATATTTAAGAAAAAAAAAAAGGAACGTGAACTACTTCTTGATTTAAAGACATTTTCTCAAGTGGCCCAGAGGGCAGAAATCACCAAGGAATCATTTTTCAGAGCACAGAAAATACAAGGTAGCAAATTAGTCTTTCCCAGTAGCCAGGGCATACTCATGGCTATCAGCAAAGACAGCTCAGCCGCTTAGTTTTCCTAGAAAATACTGCTCCCACATCTTCAGATTTAACCCCTTTGTGAATCCCACACATGAAAACTGTATCACCATTCAGCCATATTCCAAATTTCCCAGTTAATTCTATAATATCATAGTCTGGCATAAATAGGATATGTAAAATTAACTGCATTGCAGCATTACAGGTTTGGTTATAATTATATATAAAAAAGGCTTCTTTAGTATTGAGCAACACAGGAACAGGAAAAATCAATTAGCCAATCCATCCCTGCAGGTTCAGCATTTATTTTTGGGCATCAAAATACCCTACTCGGGAAAGAAAAAGGAAGAAATAGGTCTGAGGTGGCTTCCTTTAGAGGTTTTCTTCCCCCCAGAATTTAGGATCTTGCTAATAAACTTCCCTGAAGACACAGGAGGCTGTGGGGATGATTCACTGCTGACCTGGGACACGAAACAGAATTAGAGGTGAAAATGAAAGGAGCCACTGATGCCCTTTGATGTCCTCCCTTCCTAGAAGTGTTTACAAACACACCTGAAGTAAGAGAGCGCTCCTGAAAAGGCATTTTATTGACACTGCTGGTTCAACCCACATCCCATGACTCACCCCACAGAGGAGGGGGGAACACGGGGGGAGTTTCCCAAAGAACAGCATTTGCAGTGTGTCTGTACTGACAGGATTCATCAGGGGATCCACAGATTCTGGTAAATTGAATGAAATAATGTCTTTTTAACTCTCCATCACCACCCTTTACATAAGCACTTACTCTCAATTTATTTACTTTCTCCCAAATATTTAAAGCCTCAGTATGAAAATAAACCACTATGAATCCAACTTGTATTTTTTCTCCTCTCTGTCCCCTTATTCCTGGACTGTGAAAACACCTAAACCTGAGAACCCAGACAGGTTCTACCTCATGTCCAGGAGCATCTGCACTTCAGGAAAAATGCTCAAATTTCATTACTCACCCTAAAATGATTACGTCATCTTAAAAAATTGCCTCTAAGCACACTATTTATACTCCTTCTTATTCTATATATTGCTGGTTTGCAGTGTACAACAACATAAATCCCAAACAGAAAGGGGATCTCCTAAAGGGAATTGCTGCAGAGGGATTTATGACAGTGCAACTTAATCAGATTTGCAGAACTGCTCTTGCAAATCTGACTTCAGATTAAATCAGCATTCATTTCAGAAGCCATTCTGTCTATGGTACGAGTTCACAACTGAAAACATTTTGCTTTCTTTTAGCTCACTATATAAAAGCTCTTGCACGGTAGCGCTGTTTAAGCCGTCCAGACCATCTTGGGAACATTTAACTACATGATTTTCAACAAAAACTATCATCTTACAGACCATCCCCAAGCACTGGTCTCAGGTTTCAGCTTCTCAAATCCAACACCACCTGCTGACGAAATGCACTCTGTCAATGCACAACAACTGCACATATTTCTCTCTCTGTGCATCTACGTTTTGTCCAGAAATACCCAAACCAAAAAAAAAAAAAAAAA